TGTAGCCCAGACTGGTCTCGAACTCACAGTGATCCTCCTGCCTCAGCCTCCCGAGTGCTTGGATTACAGGCGTGCACCACCACACCCGGCTATGCACACAGTTTTTGATATCATAGACGTGTTTCTCAAGTCACAATAGCTCATACAACCTCCTCTCCTGTCTAGCCTGCCGTTTGCTGCCTTTGGCACAGGTTTTCACAACATTGTTCTGTCCTGTGATTCGCTTCACTGGATCGCTCTCTTTTCAGAGCTTTCTTCTTACAGAGGTGATACCCCATCCCCACCCCCGGCTCATGAAATCACGAAACTTCTGTAGTAGTAAACTGGGCTCCTCTTCGATGCTTCCCTGAACACTCTCAGAAGCCCCATGGTGACCATGTTCTACTTTTGCCATTTTTAAGACCAAAGAAAGCTCCATGTCTTTTGCGAAGAGCACTTACTGCATATCTGTGCCCTGCAGAGTTCCTCTTCCAGACGGAAGGCTGAAGGCCAAGGCGGTATCCACTGTTGCACTCTACCGTGTGTATTCTCAGTACCTTCCAAATCCAGCTGGCCTGGGCCACCGGGAGGACGAGAGAAGCCCCCTACCAGAGAGGAGGCAGACCTTGCAGCCCAGTGCGATAGGGTTTAACGCAGGAGGTTAAATGGGAGAGCTGTTTCTTTTGGAGTCTTGGAGCAAGTTGCTTAAAAAATTTTTAAAAAGAAAAAAAAAAATACTTCTATAAAAAAATATTTCCCCCTAGTTTCTTTAGTTAAGTCAATCTAATTCAGTGTAAGTGGGCATAATGATGAACCCCGTTGGGCTGATGCCCGCCTTTTGAAGAATTTGAACTTTCAAGCCTTTTAGTGAATATAGTGTGTCCTTCTTGTTATTTTTCGTCTCCTCTTCCTGAAAGGGAAAACAGCTCATTCCCACCCTCGTGGAAAGGCCCATTAATAAAGGTTTCTGTAAATCAGCCTTCAGATTTCTTGTGTTTCTGCAGAAGATGTGCTTGTGTTTTCCTTCAGGCAGCAGGTCTTCCTCATGGGTGGCTCCTGTGTACAAAGAGCTGAATGGTATTTTGTGATGTGCTAGATTTTCACTTGGAAAATAACCCTGCTTCACTTTTGTCTGTAGCGTTTGGGTTGTTGTTTTGATTGTTAACCTTGTAGTGATTTTCAAAATAATCTTTCAAGCCTGAGACTAAGTTTCTTGGAATTTAATTGTATCTCTCTGTTCCTTAGTACTGCAAATCCATTTATTTTCCCGTAATGCATATTGCTAGTCCTAATTCATCAGTTGGTAACCCCATTTTAAAGATTGTTAACAGGTGTATCCCATTTCTTCTGCCTTTATTTTGCCCTTTCACAGTAAGAGCTGATTAAAAAAAAAATAGCTCAGATTGGTTTAAAGACTCATCTTAATTTTTGCCATTTTATATCCACTATTCTATCCAGTACTTACCTTTCTTCCAGGGTAGGAAGAAACACACTCTCTCTGCCATGTGTTTCCTGTGTATCAGAAACCGGAATAAGCATGTAGAAACTGTCGTGTAACCCTTACAGCACTTCTGTTGAACAGATCCAGCCAGGTCGTCAGTGACGTAACTCCAAGCTCACCCTCATCTATATTTTCTGTCAGGGTACAGAAGAGTTGGGGTGTCCTGGCTGCCCTGTCTCACGACGTCCGGCTTCTGTCTCATGGTGTGGTGTGGATGTGGCAGGGCAGTCAGCTTCAAATTGACTGTTAAATATTCTAACCATGAAAAACCATACGACAGAGAGAAAGTCTAAATATGCTGTCGGGAAAAGAAGCCAATGGCGCATTTCCATTTAACTACAGTTCCAGGACAGGAGAAACGATGGGAAGGGAAGTGGCCGCCCTTGATGAGGGGAGGGGTGTGATCGGATGGAGGTGCTAACCACGTTTTCTTATTTTTTTAATTTTAGTTTTTATTAATACATGTTTGCAGGACGTAATGGTCTTATTCACCTCAGGGCGTTGGTGCATGTGGACAACACATCTTAATTCCGTTTAAACCCTCTGCTTCTCCCCCGCCTTCCTCCGTCTCTTGTTCCTTTTGCCATTTGCAAGACATCTATCTCTCTGTTTTCTGTGACCTATGTTTTATTTTGCTCTTTAATTTATTTATACCTCAGGCTTCTTATATCAGAAAAGCCACATGATATTTAAGCCTGTGCATGTGACTTACGTCAGTTAGCATACGGTCTTAAGGTGATTTGTCTTTATGGCACAGTAGTTCGATCCAGTTGTTGGTTACCTGGGTAGGTTCACATTATGAAAATTCAAAAACAGTTTGCATACCTTTCTGTCATCTTACTCTTTGAGGAAAGAAAAAAAATCTTACTTGACTATATTGTTAGAGATGCAAAAGCCCAAGCTGGCGAGGATTCATGGTGGACTTGAAATATCCCGTAGCAGTGAGTCAAGTGTGGGTAAATGCAGAGCAGGTGCCTTTCTTCTTGGAGCTTCAACTAAGTGGTTCCAGAAAAGCTTTCTGTCCTAGAGAATCGCAAGGACATCGTCCTTGACGAGCTCCAAGTCAGTAGTCTCAAGACAAAAGTCATTTGCTAGGCATTGGCTAACGATTTGAGTTTTAGGAAAGCTGCAGTAAACCTGGTTTGTGTTCCACGGATCTAGCACATAAATAGAATATTCTATAATTTTGCTTTTTATCTTCACAGTGACAGACCATTTGTCTTTCTGCTGTTTTATTTTTATTGCAATCATTTATCTCATTTATTGGCTGTTTAAAAAGTCAGTGTGATTAGTAAGTTGGAAAGAACAAACCAAGGCTGAGACCAAAAGAGAACAAGTCCTAACCTTGCGTGATACTCGGTTGCTACACTTACACCCACCTACAAATTGGCACTTGTTACCTTTAGGACATCCAAAGTAGAAAGTAGGGCAGATACAGTTTCCTAAGGTGAGAGTTATTTTCCTCTCCCCTAAAGGTCTACTTTGGACTGCATCATGCAGGGAATCTTTAACAATAGGTACTGAAGCAAGAGCGTAGATAGAATGTACAGGCCGTTTGAAGCCAAAGGAGACTGTCATCATCCCCTACCTACCGCTGAAAGGAACCAGCGCTTTCCTACCCTGTTCTGCGTTCTCATTTCTGGGGGAAATGCATGGCGTGTAGAGCACTTTCGCTGCGTCTCACAGAGTGATTTCCGCTTTACTCCAACTGATCAGGTGCCCGGGAGGAGTCTACCGTGCAGCAGGCACAGCGCCGGTCAGCTGTGTTTCTGTCCTTCAAGTCCCCAATTCCATGTCTGCCCTTGCGCTGGGAGCAGCAAAGCAAACTTCTCCCAACTGTCGCCGGAATCCCTGCTAGCAAAGTGTCCAAATGGAGCACGGATGAGGTACATGCACATTTTTTTTTTTTTTTTTTTTTTTTTTTTTTTTTTTTTTTTTTTTTTTTTTTTTTTGGTTTTTGGTTTTTTTTTTGGTCTATCAGGTACTCGACACAGTGGTATTGCATTAAAGGGGGCAGTAGTTGCATTGAATGTAGGTAGGATTTAGCCAGGTCCTTTTTTGTTTTTTTGTTTTTGTTTTTGTTTTCTTCCCTAAAGAGAAGTAATTATCCCTAGATAAACACCTGAAACATCTAGGCTAATGTTCTGAACATGCTGCGTTTAGGTTCTGATGTTCTTAAGCTGAAAATTTTGGTGTTGTTTTTGACAGGTGTCAGAATTCATACAGAGCTTGCCTGGCTGTGAAGAACACGGAAAGGTGTTTAAGGATGAAGTAAGTGTTCCGATAAATTACCATGTGGTGCTTACTGAGATCAATACTCTGAAGTGCAGCGCATGGGAAAGATGTGGAACTGGCCTAGTGGGGAGTGGGGAGGGCGAAGTCAGCAAACTGATACTTAGCCGCAGTAGACATCATTAATCAGTTGTAAAAGTGCCTTGAGAGATGAGATCCAAAGGGGTATTTGTAAGGTTATTTTCTGATCACTAGACCCACTGTTGAAACCCCCACACAATATAATAGCATGCATAAGATAGGAAAAAGCCAAAGAAAGAAATAAGCAACACTTTTAATAAAGTAAAATTAATTCCAAGTATTTTTATTTTAAAATCTAACAGTGTCAAGATTAACTCATTTTGATGCTTATAATAAATAATCTTATTATTGCTGAAAACAATTGCTTGGATCTTACACATTTCTCAGTAATATGTATGATTTTAAAAAATACAGTGAAGGATTAGTTTTAAAACATTTTTGCAGTGAAGACACAAGTTCAGAACACCCCCCACACATGGGCACACCGCAGACCTCTTGCCACTTCCCGAGGCAGCTCTGCAAGCCCTTTCCAGTGTCTCTAGTTCTGCTGTTGCGGCTGCCTCAGGGTTCAGAATTGCTTCAAAACGTTTACTGTTCATGGTCATTTTGATTTTGGGGATAGCCAGAAGTTGTGTGGTGCCGGGCCAGTGAATACAGTGGGTGTGGACACACCGGTGTTTTTATGAGGCAGACTTTCCATTAGCCGGCACACAGCATTCACGTACTTTTGATCACACCTTCTAAAGTCACTCATGAAAGAGAATTTTCGGAGCTGCTTCAGAGAGTGACAAGAACAATGGGATCAGTGCATCAAAGAGAGGGAGCGTATTTTGACGGGGGTTGATGATGTGTCTTTGCTGTAATAAATATTTAAATTTACCATATCTTTTGATCAGCTGTTAGATAGTAAGGTGTTTATCAGTGGGTTTTGGGCTTCTGGGTGATTTATTTTATTAAATGTTTCCACTGCTTCTCCAAAACTTCAGTGGAAGGGATGATTAGTAATGATCTTTTCCATGGAGCGCTGGAATGAAAAGGGGTGCACTTTCTAATTACCCTGGAAGTGGTGGGGTAGAGGACAGTAGACGCTGTGCTGGAGACCTGTGCGTGTCACCTGCTCCGGGCAGAGCCGTCCCTGTTGCTCTGATTCGGGCTCTGAGTAATGGTGCAATGAGGCGGAAAGCAGATTGAGTAATGTCGGGAGGCCCCCTCAGCATCTGCTCCTGTAGTCACACACGTGCACGCTCACGTGCCCCAGTGTGAACACTGGGCCGGGGATTTAGCTCAGTGGTGCAGCAACCTGCCTCCCCAACGCAGGGACCTGAGTTCGATCCCTGCTACCAAAATAACAAATTTAAAAATAGAAACAGCAGTGATGTTTAAAAAAGAATAGCACAGTTTCAGGAGCATCGCAAGAATGCAGGAGCAGCTGGTTGTGAGCTCGCTGCACCCAGATGCAGTTTATGCTGTGGATGGACGCACAAGGGTCTGGCATTCAGCATCCGCCTCTGATGTATGTTTTTGCTGCAGAAAATGCCGTACTTTCTTTTGAGATGACCTTTTGTGGCCAGTTATTCAGTGTTAGTTTCTTTCCTAACTCCTGTCTGTGTAGACCACTCTCTGTGGATTTTCTGTCCCTGAATAAACTTAGACCCCTGCAGAAAGCTGTCATTCCTTCTTGGAGGAGCCCTTATTTTTGAAAATGATAGTTTTTGAAAGTAAGTTTATAGTATATTTTATAAATTATGTTTTATTCTGTTGTCAACTAAATAATCCATATAGGTCTGCTTTATTATTTAATAAAGATTCAAGTTCAAAATGATGTGACATTTTCCATGTGATATTGGGGATTGAACCCAGAGGCTTCATGCTGAGCTTTTAATTAATTACTTTAGTTTTGGTTCTTTTGAGACAGAGTCTCATGAGGCTGCCCATTGTGAGCTAAGACTTGCAGTTCTCCTGCCTCAGCCTCCAAGACAACCAAGATTATAGCAGTGTCATCTTTCATTGAATAATTTTTTTATTGATGCCATGTAAAAAATAAAAAAAATTAAACACTTCTAACATACAATGGCACAGGATAAACATTCCCACTCCAAAAGGGAACAACAGGAGGATAGAAATGAATGGGACAAAAGCAATACTGAAACCCAGCAGGGCAAACATTAAATCCTGTAGTTCTCTGTCCAGCACCCAGGACCAGCTATAGCGTGATGTGAACTCCAGATGCCTTGTGTAGCCTCGTCCCTGTGGTCTCTGTCTCGGGCAGGCTCTGCACACTGTCTGTGGCCTTTCTCAGTAGACACTCCACCCTCCTGACTTCTCTCTCACAGCGTCACACACTGCCCTTCCAGGAGCACACTGCCTGTACTCCCAGGCCTTCTGAGATCTGGGTGGAAGTGTTGCTGACCTCACAGCCCTTGCATTTTTCATGTGCCTAAAGCCAGTGCTGTGTGGATAAGGCCGAGTCACTGGCTTGAAGAGTAGCCAAGTCACTGTGGACCACGGCTGCAGAGTCCTCTGAGTGCCTGGATGTTCACCAAATACTGGGAAACCAGTAACCCTAGCCAGCCCTTTTTTAGGAGTGTTCCCTGGTGCTTTCTTCTCAAAGCAAAATTTTTCACTTTTTCACCCTTGAGCCCACCAAGTGTAGTCTTGCTAGCTCCTCACATGGCCTCAACGGATCTTATCTTTCTCATTATCCTGATATAAAATACTTAGCTTCTTCTTAATGCTAATTTTTTCAACAACCAGCTTCTCCTCTGCTCCAACTTTATAGGCCCTTAATTTCTGGCAAATTTCTGGCAAAACTGAATACTTTTTAACTGGGCCTTTGCTCTTGTTTCTCAGTGTAAATCTTGCTGAAAGCAGCAAGCAGTATCCATGCCACACCTTGCACACTGGGCTATCTTGAAATTTCTTCTGCCAGATTAATTGGTCTGTCACATTTAATCTCAGTCTCCTGAAAAATCTCAGGACATAACCAAAACAGACAAATTTTCTTCCAGAGCATAACACACATAGTGTCTAGTCCAACTGCCAATGAAGTCTTTGTTTCCAACTGAAACCTTCTGTGTCTGGTCTTTACCATCTGCATTTCATTAGCATTCTGGTCTTCTGGGCTGTGACTAAAATCTTTCATTGAGCCCAGCTTGCAGTATTCTGGGGCTGCATCTCCAAACCCTCCCAAAGTCCTTGCATGAACCACTTATAAAGGCTTCTAAACCACATGGTCCTGTGGTTACAGCAGAAACCAGATCTGTCTTAGTCACTTTTTCATCACTGGACACAATAGCCAACACCCACAAGTTAAGGGAGAGAAGTTTATTTTGGCTCATATTTTCAGTCTGTAGTTCACTGGCTCCAAGACAAGACAGCATTGAAGAACCTTGTGGATGTTATTCTGTGAAAAGCTTTGATACGAAGGATGTGTTAAAAATCATAAAACACAATTCTTGCCTAGGATTATCTCACACAATCAGCAAGTTTTGTTTTGGAGTCCTACAGGTAAATCATTACAAGTTTAAAGTCTTATAAATCATCTCTAAAGGGCAAAGTAAATATATTTCAGTAATAGCCTGCCATTATTGGAAATCATCCTTGACCTTTGTTTTCCATAGTGCAAATCCTGTTGAGTGTATTTTTAACACGGACAGATTCTGACTGTACCTTCATCACTCATGCTGTGTGAGCCACTGCCATGTCTCACCTGGAATCGCACAGTAGCCTCTTCATCCGTGTCTTTGCTTCTCTTTTCACTACTCTGCAGTCTATTCCCACCACAGCCCAGATGATTCCGCTAAAGTTGAAGTCAGATCGTGCCTCTCCTCTGTGCAGATCCTTCCAGGAGTTTCACATCTGAGAGTAAAAGCCGGATGCCTGCTTGCCTGTCTGTCTCCTCCTGGCCTCTGCTTCACTGCCCCTTACAGTTGCACGCAGCCGCCTCCTTGCACTCCTCAGATTGTCCAGCCTGCTCCAGCTCTTCACTCCATCTGGATGGTCAAATGGCTCACTGCCCAGATGCCCATGTTTCAATTAGCCCTGCCCGGGCTCCTACTTGAAAGTGCCATCTGCTGCCAGGCGTGCGTCTACCCTGACTGCCTACTCATCTTCACCACCAGCTCTCTTTTCTCATAACTCTAATCACCTCCAATTTACTAATTAATTTGCTTGCTTATTGCTTGTCATGGTCTGTTTGCCACTACTAGAATGTGGACTCCGCAGAGTTGTTGCTTGCTTGCCTGTTTGCTCATTTTTGTTGTACGTATCGCTGTGTGCTCAGGCCCATGAGGAGTGTTTGGATAGAGCATTTAGTACGTTTTTCTTGAGTGACTATATTCATAATGTTTGTAATCTGTGTTGACAAAGAGCATCACTGTGACTTAGAGTGTTGGAAGAGAATCTGAGCCCACAGGAGAAGGAGGGGAACAGAATGAGGGGCTGCTGAGCTACAAGTCCTTCTTCTTCTCCCCTCTGGAGTGAGGCCCCTGTGCATGCATTGCAAGAGCAAACAAAAAGTAAGCTCAGGAATGCATTGCAGGGATCACAGTTCTTAAAATGGACACTTTCTTAAATTAAGTTCGCCTCCTTCCTGTTGAGGCTTGCCCTGTGACCGTACATCAGACCAGTTTGATGTAATACGTAGAGTTTGGCTCTGGCTTCTAGGTTTTTTTCTTTCTAGTATAACCTTATAAATCATAATCGAGCAATCCTCACCCCACTCTTCAGATCTCAGCCTCTCAGTTCTCTGGATTGTTCTTACCTTTGCTTAGTTGGTCAGCTGAACTCTTACAGAGAGATGGGGGAGACACAGTGGCTGCTGCCAGCCTTCGGGAGGCTCTGGATTTGTAATAAATCAGAAAGTCTCTGTAGTTTCCCCTTTGGGAAACCAGTGTGTTGGTTGACATCTTCGTGAAGGCCGTGGAAGACTGCTCTCAGCCTGTCCCTCCTCTCCAAGTCGGCCCGGGCTGGGGCAGTGCCAAGAGGTGTGCTTTCTCCCAGCTTCCCTTTGTCAAGAGAGGCTGCCGTCGCTCAGGGAAATGAGACTGGAGTCGGTGTCTCTAAAAAGCCCAGCCCCCCTCACAACCTCCAACAGAATTGGGTCACACGTGGGTTACAAGTGTCTTTCATTGTAGCTTAGTGTAGCAGTGCGTTTTTACTGAAATTAGCAAACTTTTCCCCACATAATTATTAGTTAAAGTTCGGTAAAATTCTAGTTCTTAATGATAAAATAGACCATGTAGGAAATTTAGCTTACAGAATTTAAAAAAATAAAAATTTTTTTTCAGAAGAAAAGATTTTAAGAAACAGGTAATCATCAGCCTCTATAGAATTCAGAGTTTTTGTTAGTTTTCTAGGGCTACCATCACAGATACAAGTCGGTAGCTTAACGGGTGGAGATTTATTATCTTACAGTTCTGGACACTGGAGATCTAAAGAAATCTAGAGGCCACGGTGTGGGCTGGCTTGCTTCGACTGCAAGGAAATAATTTGTTCAGGGCTCTCTCTTCAATTTACAGATAGTGTCCTCTTTGCCATCCCTCTCCGTGTGTCTGTGTCTGAATTTCCCCTTTTCTTTCTGTGAACCTCAGTGATTTTGAGGCAGGAGTCCACCCTGCTCCACTGCAGCCTCACCTTAACCAATCACGAATGCAGTGATCCTATTTACGAAGAAGCTCACATTTTAAGGGGCTGTGAGGGTTGGGCAGCAACACATTAATTTTCAGGGGATGATTCAATCCCATAACATAATACATTGCTGTCACCAGTTTCTAATGCAACAGAAAACAAAAGTATGTTTTACTTTTTGTGCAAAGTGGGAAAACCCAAAGGGAAGTTATGTTTCAAGGCACTGGAACTCCCCAGAAAGTAAAAGTCATACAAAAAAAAACCCACAAACCAACTCCATTGTTACTGCTCAGCTCACCAAGCCAGAAACCATTTTCACAGTGCTGTGTTTGAACCTCAAAGTTTTCTGTTCTCTAGAAGCACAGACTTTTTATCATAGGAGAAGCCCTAGTATAACTTTGCAAATCATGATAATGCAGAAAAGCCTGTGCTCTGAAACTGTCTCACCTTCTTCTAAGTGTGTTGTGAATTGCTTTTCTTCCCAATTTGAGAGCTAAGTGTGGCTCTGCTGGACATAAACATTATCTTTCTTGGTTATTTTTCCTTTGGTGGTAAAAGGGTGATTTTAAAAACTTGCTCATAAGTAGCTGATGGTACACTTGTATTCTTTTGCTTATGTTAACAAACATTTGTGTGTTTACTCTCTTTTTCTAATTTAAAAACCTACCATGATATGAAGAAAATTTGGGGCATCCTAGATTTTTCCATATTTTTCTTGATTCAGCACCTCGTTCAGAGTAATCACAGGAAACACAGGCACCTTCCGTTTCTCCACGGAACAAGTCTCTAGAAACAACCTCAGGCTGCAGGTGCCTATGCTGGCTTAGAGAAGACAGCTCTGTCCAATTGGGAAATGCTGGACTGGTGAACTTCCCTGTGTACCTTCTTAGTCATGTTGTGTAGAAGTCGGCTGATTTGACCACGGATATTTACCACACACTGCATCCAGCTAATTCACGTCCTTTTGTTTCTTCCCTGTTTTAGCAAATCGACGGAGAAGCATTTCTCCTTATGACCCAAACGGACATTGTTAAAATTATGAGCATTAAGTTGGGCCCTGCACTCAAAATTTTCAACTCCATCCTGATGTTCAAAGCTGCAGAGAAGAATTCTCACAATGAACTCTGAAGGTGGCGAGGGCTGAGTGCCAGCAGCTTTTGGCTTCACGTTTTATTCAAAGCACAAGGACGGTTATAACTCTTAAATGAGAAGTCTCCAAAACGCAAAGAGCAGCACTATTGGATTATTTATATTCCTTGAGAGACAATATATATGAATTCTTAAGAAAGTGCTTGAGCTTTTAACCAGGTACTGTCTAAAAACAGTCATCTTTTGGTTCTGTTCACTGAGCTAAATTTATCTTTGTAAATCTTTTTGAGGCTAGGGGGTGGGGGAAGGGGACCTCATTGATTATTTATGGATAAGGGGGGGGCAGAGTAAGAACTTTTGGCATTTTGTAAACATTGTTGAATTCTCTTTCATGTACACTTTCTTTTTCAATACTTTCAGAAACCTTTTTATATAATTGAATTTCCACTGAAACCAAATTAGTCAAAGCCTGGCTAGCTTTAGCCAGCGGGAATGTTAACCTGTATTATTCATTCTGTGCCATATTCAGAATTGCAACATTATGCTAAGTATAACTTTGCAAGTCATGATATTGCCCAACTGCTTGTCATCATTCGGTGGGGCTGAATAGTTGTAAAACTGACTTTACTTTGAATCAGTGTTTACTTTTGCACGCATTATGAAATGTTAAACAGATTACTTTTCACCAGCATCTTTACTATAATTACCAAAAACATGTATATAAAAGAGTGGATTGAAAAATAAAGTATATCGCCATGAATGACCTAGGCAGTGTATGAGAGCAGCATCAGTGTGTCCCGCCGTGGTGCCTGTGTGACAGGAGTCAGAGGGCCTTGGAGGAGGTGTGGCTCCGTGCGGGGAGTGGGGGTTTCTTTAGTCGTCACGGAGGTGGCTGTGCTCTTCAGGGAGGGAGGGCTCCTTCTGTCGGTGGACACACTAACCCGTGAAGAGGCGTCTCCAGTCTTACAGTGAGTCCCAAACACAAAGGCTTTCTTCAGGGCTGGCTGAAGAGTGCGCTGGTTTTATTGAACAGGGAAGGCGCGAGCGACCGAGACCATCACGCGTGGAGTTCTCGGGACTCACGGATGAGGGAAAGGAGCCCCAAAGCCGTTATTCAAGATCCTCCGTTCCAGAGGGATCCTTTCTTTAACATAGCTTGCCTTGATACACAAGCACTCGGATGCACTTTAAATGATCTATAAACTAATAGCTGGCAGAGTCTCTTTTATAAAAATGTATTTCTAAGGGAAAAGTTACTTTGTCAGTCTTACGATGTTCTTTGTAATTGTGGGATTCGGCAATGATTCACGGACTCTTAAAAATACAGCTTAAGCTTGTAGCATGCTGTCTGGATTCTAGGCGGAGTCCCACACTTAGGTGCCCATTTTTGTCTGGTATGGGACTTCCTGTGTGTGCCCTGCTGGGAGTCTGTGAGTAGTTGTTTGCACCTGGCATGATTCAGCGATATCTGCAGCGTGACATTCGTTTCCTTGCATGAATCTGCTGGATAAGGTTTTCTTTGTTGTCCCCTTCCCCCTTTTTATATTCTGTTCAGAATTTGTACATACATTCAGGTCACATTTGTTATCTCTGATATGAATGAAATAAAATCTTCATTACAGATCCTTTTTTTTAAAACATGTATGATTTTTAAGGAAGCTTCTCAAAATAGGAGAGGTGAAATAAAGCCAAGAACAGAAAATCTCAGGCACCATATAAGAGCTGGAGGTGTAGCTCAATGGTAGAGCTCTTGCCTACTATGCATGAGGCCCTAGTTTAATTCTTGGCAGAGAACAAAGATAACGATCTAATACATCTGTAAGGTTTACTGTCATTTATCAAGCCATGCCCCAAGAGGATGAGACAAGATTTTCAAAAGTTGTATTGTTAGATCAAGTTGGGTTCATCCACATGGGCAATTTTTGCTTTTCGGTATAAAGCCTATGTTGCAATGAAAGGACTTAAATCTTACTGAAAACACCCATTCATTGCATGCAGCCTGCTATTGTAGGTTAGAAGCAAGGCACTGAACATCTTAGGGTGGCACAAGATTTTTGTATACCTCAAGAAAGGGGGAAAAAAATAGGAAGCCCTGATAATGGGAAATCTCTGAAATACCAGAAGCAGGCTTAGGGTAGGACTGAAAAGAGCGGTGGGAAATACGAAGCTTCTATCTAAAAAGTCTTTAAAAAAATGTTTAAACCTCTGTACAAGCCAAGTGAAACCTGAGTCCAGGTTAATATTTGTCACAGCCTGCCACTTGAGACTTCTAGATTCAGTGGACGAAGATCCAAACCAAAGAGAGAATACTGAATATTTACCAAGCGGCAGCACAACGTCAGGCACGAGGCATACATACACAGTTGGAAAACAAGAAAATAGACGCGACTCTGCCCTCAGTAGCTCGGTCCCTGTCGTGTTTGCAGCCTGACTTCCCTGCAGTTTCTCCACAGTTCCACGTGGAGCCCATCGCTGGCAGCGTGACTGTCACTCAGCTTCAGTGATTTTGGACCCACGCGGAAAGTAGTCTTTGAGAGCTGGTTGATGGCACTGAGGATACGATGATTAAGACAGATTGTGGAATTAAATAATGCTGGAGCAGGGGCTGGGGATTCAGCTCAATGGTGCCCCCGCCTGGCTTGAAAGCACAAGGTCCTAAATTCAATCCCCAG